CTTATATGCTGCCACCTTTCACCCGCTGTTCATTTCAAATGAGCTTAGAAAGTTGCCCCAAGCGTCAGCCACGCCCCATTCGCGTATTTGCCCGCCACTCAGACAAAGGTCACAAATTCCTGTGGCATTCACTCAAATGAATTGAAATATCTCCGCATAGTTGTGCGTGCGTAGGGAAGCTGGATTAAAGCGAGAAATAGCCAAGGGGAGAGTGGGAGAGCGTGACGCAGTTGGGTCCGACAGTCAGCTTTAAGCTGCGCCAGAAATTTTAAACAATCTGCCGCAATTCGGGTCTGGCAACGAGGAAAGGTCAGTGAAAGAGAGTGAGATGAAAGGGTGAAAGGTGATGTAGAGCAGCGGTTCAGTAAACGAAATCTGATCAATAATAAAGGCAAATAGAAGTAGTCCTATCCAATGGACGATGCAGAAGCTATGAATGAATAGATTCCATAGGGTCTACATAGTAAATTGAGTCTGATTTTTGCTTATATTGTATAAAACCTATATACCCTCTTGGCATATATGGCATAAACAGAGCATTCAGCATATCTCTTAAGATAAGTAGCAGGAAGTTTTGTCTTGTTTACATGCTCTTGCTCCATTGTGCTGCAAACAAGTTTAATTATCTTGTTCGATAATTATCGACTTTTTTCGAGTAAAGCAAATATAGTGAACTAGAGTAGAGCAACATGGTTTGTTGAGAAAACTACACTATATAAACATTTCCTTCTGCTTTATGTTACAGCTCTTCAGTAAATTGAAAACATTCTTAAAGGATAACTCGTCCTGTTATCGATAACAGTCAACAAGAGAATCCTTTAGTCACAATTAAAATAAATCACTTTGACTTTCGCTTTTACTTTTCTTCCCAAATCGCTGCACCGCACTCGCTCGACTGTTCGGACTCGACTCAAGCGCCGCTGTGCGTCGACCTCCCCTTGTGAGCCTTACCACCATACATATATATGGATGGAGTGTATATGTATATGGCATATTGTATGTATAGTAATATCATAATGTTCCATATCTCACTCTTTATCACACTTAACCGCAATCGTCGCATCAACTTTTGTATATTTATTTTGCAATGTTTTCTTCCCCCCCTTTTTGAAACGGGGGCAACTGCAGTGGTAAAAATTTCAGATTGAGGCATTACACTTGTTCTGCTATGGTTTAGTTTGTTTGTTTGTGGTCTGTGACCGAGCACACACATATACACACACATACGCATACGCATACATGTGCGCATATCAGTGCAAATTAATGATAAGGCTGCATTTGGTGTGTTTCGATTGTCTGTGGTGGCTGGTACCGTTTCTGCTCTTTCTGCTTCTGTTTTGCCATACCCTTCCAGCAGAGTATTTCGATTTGAGCATGCATGATGTGATGCACAGTCAAATAGTTTGCAAATTTGTACAAGAAAATAGTAATGAATGATTTATTTTAGTTGATCTGATATCCATTAATCTTAAAAATTAAATCTAGAACTTATATGCAAATGTTGATCATGAATTTAACTGCATATATGCATATACATATATGTATATTCCTGATCAGCAGCAGCAATAACTGTCTATGAAAAGTTGTAGGAACTTATCTTTAAATTTGGCTTTATGTTATCAGACTGCATGATCTTAAAGATAAACATTCCTACATATATAAGTCAAGACTACCCAAGCAGATCGGATTCTTCAGTTAGACAGTTCATATTCGAACGATTGATTTTCTTCTTTACCATAATAGATAAATAACCCAGATTCTATTTAAAGAGTATTTCACACTTGGCGTTTGCCTTGTTTCCCATGCTCCACTCTCAGCCCCGGTTATAAAGGGAAGCTACAGGCAATTAACGCTACAAATATATTGTATAATATACATATGTAGATACCATAAATCGCTTGTGGAACAAACAGCTTCTATCATTTTTATTAATTGCAGTAATGCAATTATACTGTTTCGCCAGATGTTTTCAGCAGGGGCGTACACTTTAGGGAGCTTTCACTGTACTGGAACTGGTACTGTTAAAAGCTCATATAGTTTAGTTATTTATAATAGCTTTGAGCTATGGGAATTACCATTTAGTCTGGCGTATTACAGCCCTCTCCCCCTCGATCGGCCCTCTCTCTTTCTGTCGGAATCCATTGCTTTATGCGATAAGCAATTCATGTGTATCTATCTCTCTCTCTCTCTGTCTGTCTGTGTGTGTGTCCCCTATTATCTTTCTCTCTCTCTCTCTCTCTCAACATTCATCTGTGAAATTACCTTATTATAACTTTTTAGGAATTACCTACTTTTCTTTCGCGTGCCACGCCCCCTGGTTAGTGGCTCCCGTCGACGTATCTGAGTTCAGTCAGCCCCAGTTTCGAGAATCCGGTTTTTCCAGCTACTTTATATGAAATATCTCTTTTCGCTTTTGCAATTAGACTTGTAAAAATCAAATGTGGAAATGCCAAAGCGAATGCGCAGAATAATAGGCTGTGTGCGCTCCACGTTGGCCAAGTGACTCAGTCAGTCACGTGACACAGTCTCCGTCCGTATCCGGGCTATGATCAGAAAGAACTCAAATGGAACCGACATAAAATCTAGTGAATGTGCTACGACTGGCACGACTGTTGAATGCTCTGCATGATGTTAGATATTCCAACATTAATTAGCATATCGATTGCAAGCTATCGATAGGTTTGAGAAATGCAGTCTCCAAATTATCAATAGCAAATAGTCGAAGCTTGAATTGTCTTTAGCAATTCGTATATACATACGTACATATGTATGTACATATTTGGATAAATTTAAATAATATGCCCCATTTATAGGGTATTGCTATAATTGTTAGAAAACGAGTTCCAAATCACAATCACAAGATTTGGTATTCACTTTGTCCATACGAAATCGTGTTAAGAATTGTTTGTATGTATGTATGTATGTACATACAGTATGTCCATTAATTGTTTGCAAAACAAAAAAAGTCGTTCAAATTCAACTTTAACATCACATTTTATTAGGAAAGGCACTTTTTCTCAGAATTTTTTTCTTACATTACTTTAGTTTCATATATTCTTAAAGATAATCAATAACAAAAATAATAAGAATAGCAACAAAAACGTACAAAATAATTCCAAACAAAAAAAAACAGCAAATATCGACTGTCCATTAATTCTTTGCAAAATGCAAACATTAGTTGAAAGAAGACGGGAAAAAGCTAACGGGACATCAAAATCAAATGCGGCTCGCGGCGTCTATTTTCACAAATCTTCCGCGAATTCATTCGTTTTAATAAAGTCGTGCGATCACTACTATTTTTGAT